CGAAGTAAAAAAAAAAAAAAAAAAAAAACATAAAAAATACTTTACTGCAGGACTAACAAATTAGTAAAACGCTATCTAATAATTGAGTTATGGATGTTGGATGGTCTATAGCTTTTTTTTTTTTTGCACCTATGAGATAAATCCCCACCATCGTATGTGAAGCATTCTCATTCCCATGTTTGATTCAATTATTCTTTCGTTTACCGCCTTTTTCGATGTTCGTTTTCTTCTTCCACTGACAAATTCTAGTTGCATTCTCAGCAGGCTGATCACCAGGCGATGAAGCATTGGCCAAATCAACTGCCGCATGCATAGTTGGGGTGTCAGAAAATGATTCAGTAGCTTTTGTTACAAAGGCAAAACATACCCTCCGCAAGAAATCAATTGGAAATTCCAGGGAATTGGCATCGCAGTAATAAGCAAGAAAAATTTCATCGAGCCCCACAAACGACATTCCGCGTGATGATATACACATCGCTGTTTTGCCATCATCTAAAATGATGCAGTACGCTTTTTTTCGTTGTAAACATCAGAAATTTAAAGGTACGGGGAAACAACATACATTCGCAGAGTTTGACGGTGCACCACAGATTCCTAAAAATCATCACATCGATTGACTCCTCGTTCCTTAGAGCCGGTATGCAGTACTGCTGTACATTAGCACATTCCACAATGGCACCATCCGAGCTTCTCAAATGCAAGCAACAATTATCATCGTCGGGAAGAAAGCACACGCATTCCTCACTGACATGAAGCTGTTTCAATCGACGTGACGAAGCACGTGTTTTCGAGCCATGCTGCAATTTTCTTTGGGTTAAAGAAAACCAATATTTCAACTAAGCCAACAGCAAAATGTACGAGAATGAAGAAGTCACCTTTCTTTGCTTCGAACTGCTAGCAGCATTATCGGTTGTATCGGCTGGCGAGTCGCCAGGATGAACACCATCACGGAACGTAACACTACGTTTTGCTGCTGCTGCAGCATCACTGGAAGACGGAGTATCGAGTTCTTTGGCAGTTGCGGATTCCGTTTTTAGCGTTGGTTTTAGGACAGGTTTTGTGCCAACGCGAGAACTCTCCGCAGTCCCTTCAGATGAAGAAACGCAACGACCCGATTCCAACCCGCTGCAATACAACTGGCTATACCTCAACTGCACACGTCGTTCAAAACTAAAGAGAATATGGCAAGTTTTGATAATGTGTTGGTGCTAACTATTACTGCACTACTACCGATGCTAATTTTTATTCAAAACAATGCAATAACGGGCTAAACAAAGGCATGTTTGCACCTGACCGCATCTCTGAAAACAATACGAGATTAACTCCATGCACACCTCCTTTTACAAATGATGTCTGTTACAGGCAGCAGCGAAATTGCGTTTTCCAGTGAAGTGCTGTAGTTCCGTTTCGGCATAGGCGATATTATTATTATTATCATCACCATTGTCATTATTTTTACTATTACTATCGCCGCTATTATTATTAATGTTATTTTCATCACTGTTATTATTGTCATTATTATTGTCGTTGTTATTATTGCTACCATTATTGTTACTATTACTAC